TTTTCACTTCACAAGACATTAACTGATGGACTGGAGTGGTGTGGATTATTGTGATGTTTTTATCAGCTGTTTGGACTCTCATTCTGACGGCACCCATTCACTGCATTGCTGAGCAAGTGATGGAATGACGCATTTCTCCAAATCTGATGAATGTTCATTTTTAGGTGAACTATTCCTTTAATCTGCATGGTTCATTTGTCATCATTTCAAAAAAAAAAAAAGTCACACTGGTCTATTGGGTATAATTTATAATAATATTTTATTTACATATACAACATCTCTGATGTTTACAAGGACTCAAGATCACGGAGGTCTGTTTACAGGTCAGGTCTCACACCAAAGCCCGGTCCAGGAGGAGGTTCTGTCAGTGAGGTTAAACCTCCGGCAGGTTCACATGAAAAACGGCCACTCCTGATGGAAGTGAGATCATTACAATCAATTAAAACATTCTTAGCATGCCAAATGATTCATTAAAGGGGTCATGAACTGAGAAATCAAATTTCCCATGATCTTTTGACATATAACAGGTCAATGCACTATAAAAACATCCTGTAAGTTTCAAAACTCAAAACGTTCTCATTAGTCTAAAAAGAGCTTATATTGAAACCAAGCTCAGAAAACGACTCGTTTTGGAATGTGCCACTTTATGACGTAATAGTGTTGGATAAACCCCGCCTCCGCAGGAGAAGATCAACCTACTTGTACGTCACTGCCTCTTTAGCCCCGCCCACTGATACGCACTTGTAGCAGGACAAGAGAGACGCAAACACAGGATTACTCCATCAACAGAATCAGACAGATGATATCACACGATTACAAGACACTGTGTGGTGTAAGGTGTTAAAAATAGTCTTTGAATTGCCTTCCTTGTGATCCTAACACCGTATCTAGATCGGACGTGCACGCTATTATTGCGTCATGATGCAAATCAGTTTCTCTTTCAGGTCAGAAGCGGTGCGGATGCTTGTCTGTCAGAAATAGAGCGAGACATCAGTTTACTGTCGAGGATTTGTTGTGTCAATCCGTGCCACATCCAGTATAGACAGAATCACAGATTATAATGGGTTCTGTTGTCTAGAGTCGCGTCCGATTTAAACACGGGGGGAAATGAGCAAAGAGCTTCAGATCGCTTCAGTTAAACACTAATTGTTTGTTTGCTTTAATTTACTACGGATTCATTTTTAAATGAGAGTATGACGCAGGCAGAGAGACTGAAAGTAAACGCTGATGCAGCGCAGAGTCCGACTAGAGCAGATCCAACAGTAATGTCGCAACACATACGTGTGAGTAAACGTGCTTTTACCACTTACATTGTCTGTTCCAGATCATCATACTGAGTATTTACACGTTTTTAACCCAAACGATCCATGTTGTTTTCAGAGTACGTCACAGAAACTGTTAGCCAATGACAGCAGTGGGCGTTTCCTTGAGTCTTGAATGAGCCCCGCCTATAAAAACAGACCGTTCTGCAAAGAGGCTCAAAAGCAGGATAGAAAATAGCCTAATACTTCTAAATTATGTTTTTTTATGTAAAATCACACTAACATTATAAGTGAACCTCAAAGAACATTTTAAAATAATTTTAAAAATGCAGTTCATGACCCATTTTAAAGAATATGTTAGAGAGCCTTAAAAGAATATGAAGTTGTGCTCAAAATTAATTCTGTATTTCAGGGGTTTCTAGTGGTTATTGGGGTGTGAGTTACAGTCATTCACACATCTGTGCACTAAAGGACTCATCAGTGATAATGAGCTGCACTTATACATACCCTACTGGATATAAGATCATGAAAGTGTTCTGGACCAAAAACCCTGTAATGGGTGAAGAGCCTCCAGATCTGTCTAAGGATCCTGAATACAGTCAGAGGCTTCAGTATCTGGGAGACAAACAGCAGAACTGCACCATCAGACTGAGTCATGTGAGACAGAAAGATTCACACAAGTACTGTTTCAGATTCATCACTGATCAACCTGATGGAAAATGGACTGGTTATCCAGGAGTGACTCTTACTGTCACAGGTGACTTTCATGAGGCTGAGCTCTTCTTCTGTGCATTATGTTGAATAATAATCAGTGTATGACAGCAGCACTAGATATAATGTGTGTGTTGTGTTCAGATCTTCAGGTGGAGGCTCCTGAGAGAGTGACAGAGGGTCATAATGTCAGTCTGACATGTAAAAGCAGCTGCACTCTGACTGACAGAGCAACATTCATCTGGTACAGAAACTCACAGCCATTAACTGAGAGAAGAGACGGAAACAATCAACTCCTGCTGCAGTCAGTCAGAAGAGAGGATGCAGGCAGATACAGCTGTGCTCTACAGGAACACACTTACATCTCTCCTGCTGTTTATCTCAATGTCATGTGTGAGTACAGATTAAATCATATTTTTTGGCCACCTGAGTAAATTTGTTCGAATATCATACAACAGAGAAGTTTAAGGTTTTACTTAATTTTGATGTTTGTTGACATGTAAGTGCAAAGTTACTTATTGTCAAAAGAGTGCTCAAAAGGGACCATCAAAATAAAGTGTTACCAAAGTTTCAACAACAGAATTGAATTAGAAATGCAAAAAGGTTTTAGTAATAGGACAATCCTCTTCCGGTTTTGGCATGGCGCCAGTGTTTGGCTTTGCCGCTGTGGCTGGATGTTCACCCTGACTCATTTTATTTGTTTTCTGTGCTATATTGCTGTTAAGTTTGTCCACAAATGTCATGTCTACTGCATGGGTGTATGATCGCCAAACGATGCTTCTGATTCGATCCTCTATGGAGGAGTGTGGTGGGGTATGTACCTAGAGTAGTCCAGGTGCATTTTCTGCCCCGTTTATATGTCTGTCTGCACCGTTTACTCGCTATGGAGTAGGCATAATGGGACGCACAAAGAAGCAGCGGAGAAGGAGAGGAAAAAGGGCAGGGAGACAGGTGCATTTTAAAGACTCCTGAAGTTGGGACTTTTTTATGATGGCTCCAGACCATTGTATCTTCATTCTGTCTTCCCGGACGTCCCTATGGTTTTGGTCTGTCAAACTTACATCTGGTCGCGGTGTGTGCGCTGTGCACCTGAGGTCGCTGCCGCGAGCCTCACCCTCTACGTCAGGTGTTGTTTCGGCACCGCTCAAGATGGCTTTGATTAATGCCCGTTCAATTTCAAACAAGTCATTTCTGCTCAGTGAATTATTCACTTCAAAAAAACTGGATTTTATGTTGCTGACGGAGACATGGCAAAGGATCTTGCTTTTAATGAGGATCCTCTGCCTGTTAAGCGAGCATCCTGCTCTCGCATGATTAACCAGCATGCTGTTGAGAATTTCTCAGCCGCCTTTGACTCAAGCTTGGTTATTATCTCAAATGACATTGATGCTACTTTACAGTCATTTAATGAACATTGCACCCTGCTACTGGACAGAGTGGCTCATTTAAAAACTTGACAAACCCCCCCATTTTAACACCCCCTTGTGGATAAATGAAGCTTTAGACGTGTTTGTCGGAAGACTGAAAAAAAAAAAATTCAGGAAAGCGACTGAAGTCCACCACCTGCATCTTAAAGAGATCTTGTCAGATCTAAATGAGATGATCAAGGATGCTAGAGCATCTTATTTTATGAAACTGATATCTGCCTGCAAAGTGAATCCTAAAACTTTGTTTGAAACTGTTAACAATATTGTTTCTCCTGCTACATCTCTTGTCCCTGTGTTTTCTAATAATGACTGCACTCATTTTTTGTCTCATTTTGTGGACAAGGTTATGGCTGTCAGGGCAAACATTGCATCACCAGCAAATCCTTTTACAAGTTACCCAACAAAGTCTGTCAATTTTGGACTCCTTTAGTCCCATTTCCCTAAATGACATAATTAAGTTAGTGGGCATGATGAAACCTTCCCAAAGCCCTGTGGATATTTTGCCTGCGTCTCTGTTTATGAAATCTATTACATCTATTGGCCCTATTACGTCTATCTCTTAGGCTGGGCCAGGTCACTAGGTGTTTTAAACATGATGTTGTTCAGCCTCTCTTGAAAAAGAGTAGTCTTGATGTAACATCATTTATTAACTACAGGCCCATTTCTAAATTGCCTTTCTTCTCTAAAATCTTAGAAAAGGTATTGGCAATGCAGTTAAATACGGTTTTGGAGGCTCATAATATATGTGATAAATTTCAGTCTGGCTTTGGTAAAAACCATTCGACAGAAACTGCCCTCCTTAGGGTCTCAAATGACATTTTGATGGCTGCTGATGCTGGTGAATGCTCTGTGCTGGTCTTGTTAGAGATTAGATCTATGGTTTCAAAAAAAGAGATGGAGATGCTTGTTCATGCATTTATCGCTACACGGTTAGACTATTGCAATGTTCTCTACACTTGTTTGAACAAATCTTCTATGGATCTATTACAAGTTGTACAGAATGCGGCTGCAAGGCTTTTGACTAGGACCAGCAGGAGGTCGCACATTACTCCCGTGCTTAAGGCCCTGCATTGGCTTCCCATTGGTTTTAGAGTACATTTTAAAATTGTGGTCAATCAGCCTCTTATATCCAGGATCTATTACATGCACACTCCCCTGGCCGGACTTTGAAATCTTCTGGCCTAGACCTTTTAACTATTCTCAGAACACGTCTTAAGACAAGGGGTGACCGTGCTTTCTGTGTCGTGGCTCCAAGGCTTTGGACCTCTCTACCCTTATCATTCTTTTAAATCTCATCTATCTTTTAAAAAACATCTAAAGTCATCTTTTTGGACAAGCTTTTAACTAACAATATGGTCTGGAAGCAATTTTTTGTGATATTTGGGGGTATTTGTACAGCTGGTATTTTACTTGTTTTGATTTTAATTTTATTGTAAAACACTTTGTGACCCCTTGTCTGGGAAAGGTGCTATATAAATAAATTTTACTTACATACTTACTAATATTATTTTCATTTATATTGGACCTCTAGATCCTCCAACGGAATCTTTTGTAACAGTGAATCCATCTGGTGAAATAGTGGAGGGAGATTTAGTGACTCTGAACTGCAGCAGTGATTCAAACCCACCTGCAGAAATCAGCTGGTTTAAAGGAGGAACGTTTGTAGGATCTGGAAGAATCTACAGCATCTCAAAGATCAGCTCTGATCACAGTGGAGAATACAAGTGCAAGTCCAGAAATAAACATGGAGAGAAAGACTCTGATGCTGTGACTTTAAACGTCATGTGTGAGTTAATGATGGTTCAGTAACTGTGATATTTAATCCTCTGTCACCTCAAATGTATCATTATTGATCATGACATCTATGTTTTAGACCCTCCAAAAACAATATCAGTGTCCATAAATGGATCTGCTGAAATAGTGGAGGGGGATCCAGTGACTCTGAGCTGCAGCAGTGATTCAAACCCTCCTGCTCTGAACTTCAGCTGGTTTAAGGAGAATCAAAGCTCAGCTGTTGGATCTGGACAGAGTTTCAATGCACTACAGAGTGGACGCTTCTACTGTGAGGCTCACAATCAACACGGATCTCAGAGATCAGACGCTGTTGCTGTCACTGTACATGGTGTGTATCACTGAGTCATTCTGCGACTGGATGAGTGGGGGGGGTTAAGAATTATAAAATCTGTTCAAAGTAATTAATTTTATGAATGTATTTATAAAATTTCCTAAATACAGCAACATTTGGTGCAGGCTCAGTTTGGAGTTGGAACAGTCACTTTAGGACACAATTATAATGCATTTAGTCTGCTTTCATTTCCACATTGTATTAATCTTTTGAGCGGTATGATTTGATTGTTATATCTGTGCCCCTGGAGGTACGGTCGTACATAAGAGATTCAGAATGGTCAATGACGTCACATAACTGCCAAATTCAAACTTTGCTTTCGAGCTTTGGCTGGCACTGAGCCAGAGATGGACGCGCTCTGTGCTTCTCATATAATCACAACTATGCAGTGTTTTCAACCATATATTGTTTATTTTTGGTTTCAGACATTTGAATACACACAAGTGCTCCCTGATAGCACATGTACATCTCGGAGACGTCTATTTGACGTCTGCATTTACATCTGCAAGATGTATGTTTTAGAGTGTTTGCTCATCTGGGTGTTTCCTATCAGATGTCAAACAGACGTTTATTAGATGTCTTTAAGATGTTTATGATTTAGAATGTATGTAAAACTGACATCTTACAGACGTCTGTCAGATGTTTGTACACAGCAGATGCTTTCCAGATCAAGAGATCTTTAACAGTCATCTTGTAGACGTACGTGTTTGTAAAATACACACAGATGTTTATGGAAGCAGCAATAACAATCCATTCAAATGTGACAAAGGGGGCACCAGTCGTGAAATCTTTAACTATGAAGATAAATGCGATTGTGTTGAAATTGCAGCTGTACACTATGAATCATGGTTTTGTTTTCTCATATTAAACATAAAAGCATTGTCTTGTTACTTGTCCTGTTGTAGGAAGGAAGTTTCGGTATGCAGTTGCTGGAGTCACTGGAGGATTGGGAGGTTTAATCTTCATATTCATCATTGTGTTGCTCATGTAAGTTCATGTTGTGTGTCAGGAAACACATTAGTACCAAGCTTATTTCCTAAATGCATTTTACATAATTCTTTATTACAGGAGGAAAAAACAGAGACCTAATCACATCGCACAAAAGCAGGTAAATCAAATTATCAAACGAGCATTAAGCAAAAGTTATAACACAAAGGTATTAATTATTTTTGCCATAAATACAGTGTAACAAGTAATTTTCTCTCATTGTAGGATGACCTTTATGTCAACGTATCAGCTCACAATAGGTCTCTGTCTGAATCTGATGCCGCGAATCAAAACAATGCCCTGTATTCCTTAATTACTCTCAGCAATTTCAGTCACAATCAGACTGAAGGAAAAGCATCTGATTCTGAAGATACAGAAGAGATCCAGTATGTAACTGTCCTGCATCATAGAAATAAAGAGATGAACCAACCGGAAGAGGAGGAAAGCCAGTACGACAACATTAGAAAATATCGGACTGATGCTGCAAGGAGGTGAGAAACATCATGGCATGTTCATAACATAATAAATCATATTAAGATTGAATCAGAACACTGTTGAGCGCTCTTGAATGCCGTTCCTGCATTGGTTGAGGTTGTATTAATTGGCATCTGTGAAGGTAATTGATGCAATATCTCTGGATATATCCATTTCACAGAACACAGCCACTGTTGCATTTTGCCTATTAATGGATTGCCACAGAATCTATAAATAATAGCTCTACATGGGCCCTCATATGTCAGCAGATGTATACACAGCAAAAACTCCACTCTCCTTAATAGTTTATTTGAGTCTACACTTAAAATTAACACTGAAGTGGAGTTAAAGGTAACGAGATCATTAAGGGATTAATTGAACGATGATTGATCATTAGTGAAGACACCTGATGTTAACAAGCAGAATCACTGAAGGAAAGAGTCAACATTAAGTCACCATGATGGTGGTCAGTGTTTACTTTATTTCGGCCCTTGACTCTTTAAACATTTTTTTCTTTCGTTCTGTTTAACTGTATGTTTATAAAGCACATTTGCTATGGCATAGAAAACACAGCGAATATATGTTAAGCTGCTGGTCATGGTTTGGTAGCATAAACCTTGTGGTTATACCGTACATCATTCTGAGCCCAATCTCTGATTATATGGGTGGTGTGATAATTTTACATTAATGTAGTGATGGGAGACACAAACCTTTTCGAAGCTTCGAATCAATTGAACCAATTGCTTTGCAAAATGACTCACTGTTTCGAAGCACTCGAAACACCACATGCTGGTGGTGCACACTGCTGGTCAAAACTGTGTAAATGCAACAAAAACTCATGCATAAAAACAGCTTTTACAAACCCAATGAAAACGCTTTCATGATCTCAGTGAACTCGCATGATTCACGGGTTCACAGAGATCGCCCCCCTAAGGCGAACTATTGAAATTTCAAAACGTTTCAAAACAGTTATGATGTTACGAAGCCTCATTTACTGGGTGATTTATGTTGTTATTTTCTTTTATTTGTTTTTGGAACATATTTTTAGGTTAGTCTAATTTTCAGTTTTTGGAGTGAAATATATATGTATTTTTTTATTCTAAAGAAACATTTCCTAATGCAAAATGTCTTTTGGTTTTGGGGTCAAATATAACCCATGCATCTTCTTGACAGGCATTGTGCGATTCTCCCTAGTGTGTGTTTGAGTGTCAATCTTGAATGCTTGTTAGTGGTTTTATGCATTAGAAGTCACAGAAACGCTCTACTGCCATCGCTGTCATATTGAGTTCATGCCACTCTCGTCTGGTTGTTGTAACTTCTCTTGAGCATTGTGGCTGGTTCAATCCTCATGTAAACAAGAGTCGGGCAGGAAATGAGCAGGATGTGATTAATTTACCTTTGTTTTGAAGTGTTACTCTTTAGACTGATGGAGGAATGCCACATGAGGGGACAGGAGCGCACAGTTACAGCAACAGCGCTGTGGTTTTCCCACAATGCACTATTTAACCATCAGAGGTCAGGGTCAGGCAACAGGCATCCAAACAAACAAAAACATTTTCAGAAGGAGCCTTTTGTGTCACAGATATATAGAAGCTTCTCAAGATATTATATATCAATCAGCTTTTCATTCCCTGTTTACTAGAGATTATTTGCTGCTTTGCCTTTAATGTTTGCTTTTGTTGTCTTGAAGTGACATCTTACAGACGTCTGTCAGATGTTTCTACACAGCAGATGCAGATCAAGAGATCTTTAACAGACATCTTGTAGACGTACGTGTTTGTAAAATACACACAGATGTTTATGGAAGCAGCAATAACAATCCATTCAAATGTGACAAAGGGGGCACCAGTCGTGAAATCTTTAACTATGAAGATAAATGCGATTGTGTTGAAATTGCAGCTGTACACTATGAATCATGGTTTTGTTTTCTCATATTAAACATAAAAGCATTGTCTTGTTACTTGTCCTGTTGTAGGAAGGAAGTTTCGGTATGCAGTTGCTGGAGTCACTGGAGGATTGGGAGGTTTAATCTTCATATTCATCATTGTGTTGCTCATGTAAGTTCATGTTGTGTGTCAGGAAACACATTAGTACCAAGCTTATTTCCTAAATGCATTTTACATAATTCTTTATTACAGGAGGAAAAAACAGAGACCTAATCACATCGCACAAAAGCAGGTAAATCAAATTATCAAACGAGCATTAAGCAAAAGTTATAACACAAAGGTATTAATTATTTTTGCCATAAATACAGTGTAACAAGTAATTTTCTCTCATTGTAGGATGACCTTTATGTCAACGTATCAGCTCACAATAGGTCTCTGTCTGAATCTGATGCCGCGAATCAAAACAATGCCCTGTATTCCTTAATTACTCTCAGCAATTTCAGTCACAATCAGACTGAAGGAAAAGCATCTGATTCTGAGAAGAGATAAGAGATCCAGTATGTAACTGTCCTGCATCATAGAAATAAAGAGATGAACCAACCGGAAGAAGCCAGTACCCAGTACGACAACATTAGAAAATATCGGACTGATGCTGCAAGGAGGTGAGAAACATCATGGCATGTTCATAACATAATAAATCATATTAAGATTGAATCAGAACACTGTTGAGCGCTCTTGAATGCCGTTCCTGCATTGGTTGAGGTTGTATTAATTGGCATCTGTGAAGGTAATTGATGCAATATCTCTGGATATATCCATTTCACAGATGTACTGATCAGATGGTGGAGGATCAATCAGTGATTTACAGTGCAGTCAAATGATCAACGGATCAGTTTGGTGAAATTACTGTTCCTGGGAAAACTGATCTCCATGTTGACATCGCCCTCGTGTGGTGGGACTGCTTGTCTGTTGCTGGATTTTCATTTCTTCTTTTTAGTTTTACCTAAGAGCTGGTTTATTCCTTGTTTTTGCAAAGAGCATTTTCTCTCACTGGTCCTCTGATCAGGATGTTGCTGAAATCCTGAATTCTTCGTCCAGTTTGTATGAAATCTAGAGACCCTCCTGACAAAATGTTGGTCAAATCTGAAATCAGCTGAATAAACTGAATAAACATATGGCAGGACTTTTACTTTCTGACCCCTGGACTTTACACCTCTGGTTTTTGGAAACATAATGACTATGTTATTTTAATCTACATTATTGTTGGTAAACCCTCAAAAAGAATAAACTCCTCATCCAATTTGTATGAAATTTGGCGTGTTTTGTCTAGAGACACTTCTGACAACAACTTGTCGAGGCAGAAATGTTCATAATTTCATCATTTGCATGCCCTGCCTACTGTGAGTACAATATCCAAATTTATTGTAGTGATGGGAGACACAAACCTTTTCGAAGCTTCGAATCAATTGAACCAATTGCTTTGCAAAATGACTCACTGTTTCGAAGCATTCAAAACACCACACACTAGTGATGCCTGCTGGTCAAAAGTGTGTAAATGCAACAAAAACTCAGGCTAAAACATGCATAAAAACAGTTTAAAAACCCCATTGCAAATGTTTTATTGAACACATAATACATTAAATGCAATAAAGAAATTATAAAATACCGTTAAATATTAAGTGCCTGTATAATATGTGGTTTTTAACGTATTTTATATTAATTGGCTTGTTTTGTTTGTTTTATGGAGACCTTGTATATAGAGGCCAGTAAGAGACTAACTACTTCACATCCTTTTAATTACACAAATGACTCGTTACAAATGTCTACAAATTGATGAAACTGATCCGAGATCAGGTAAAAACCATAGACGCTGGTTCAATGTTTCGCCCGCTGGGGGGCGATCTCAATGAACTAGCTCGATTCACAGGTTTACAGAGACCCCTGTAAGACACCCTCAACGGTATAAATTTTCAAACATTTCAAAACATTAATTGACGTAATGAAGCCTCGTATACTGAAATCACGTGACTTTGGCAGTTTGATACGTGCTCCGAACCACTGTTTTGAAACAAATGATCACAAAATCACAAAAGTTTCGAAGCGTCACGAAGCAGTGATTCAAAAGCGGCCATCACTACATTATTGATTACAGCAGCCCTGTGGTGAATGCATGAAATTCTGCACACACACAAAAAAAGTTTGAACCACTTCATTTCTTTAGACCAGGGGTGGGCAAACGTTTTGACTGAAGGGCATCAAGTTCTCCAAATCAAGTGAGGGGCTGCCTAATGTGTGTATGACAAATTAAGCTAAATTGACACTCATTTACTACTGTACTGTATGTATATTTGTACATACATGGCAGTTCTATTATTGTACCATCTCTACTTTATTTTGATGAGCACTTTATGACACACAGATAAGGCAAGATCTCCCTGCGCATCCTTGCAGCCTAGCATGGATAAGAGCAGGGAGAGCAGTAATAACCCCCTTAGAGTAAACAGAACAGAACAAACATAAATGTATTGCAGATATCATTAAAGTTCAATAATTTAATGTAGCGTTTTAGAAATTAGTATAATTCAAAGGAGAATCAGAAGGCTGAATCCTGACTGACGGGAGGAGTTGGGGATGGAGGAGGTTAATTAGTTATTGAGCAATGCAAAAGCTGGTGATAATGCTGAAGGACCTTATATATGAGTGCCGTAATAGGTGTCGCATCCCTATAAGTAGACAGGATATGACTTGAAGACTTGCTTGTGACTTGAAAGCCCCACCTCTGGTGTGAGTAGTCCAGCTTACATGCAATATGTATGTGTTTATTCCTGGCTTTCATTTACAACAAAGTATTCATGATCTGAAAATCTGCAAGATAGACCAGGAAATAAACAGAATGTTTTTTTGTTTTGTTGTTTATTTTGGCAAATCTAAAAGAAAGATTTTTTTTTTTTATGTCATATTTTTACGTCAATAATCAGAGGTTAAAAAGAGAGAGGAAAGGGGAAATGAGCTGGAAATGACGCCGTTCTGGTTATAAATGAGGCTGCTAAACCTTCCTCCTTTCTCTTCATGTGTCATTTGGTTTCAGCTGATGAGTTGTCCTGCGCTACGGTATGACCAGTTTCTTATCATGTTTTGTTTGTTTGTTTGTTTATACATTTTCAATGCTTCTACACTTAACAAAAAATGTGTCTGTTTTGAAACTGTTTTCACTCAGAAATTGCTAGTAAATTTCACAAATAATTACAATTACAATTTTGAGGTAGAAAGACTGAAATATATTTTTCTTGTAAATCTCATCCATATATGAATTTCTGTGTTGCAGGTGTTGTTATGGTGATGTCAGTCAGAATGGCTCTTCTTCTTCCTCTCATCTTTTCTCTCATGATCCACAGTGAGTTTCTGATGCTTCTCAATAGGCTTGTTCAGACTTTCGGATTTTTGTGCATATCCGATTGTAATCCTCATATTTAGCCTGTGTGAACAACAAAAATCACATGAAATTCAGTTTTTACAAATCCGTTTCAAGCTACATTTATACGTGGTTTTTAAATCCTGTTCAAATCGCATTTCTGGAAATCCGTTTCAGTCTGACCACTCAAATTGGATTTAGCGTATATTTTTCACGTTCTCAGGCCACGTAAAGCATTTTTTTTTTTTGTAGCAGGCCTGTCACAAAATTGGTGCGATATTCAATTGTAAGCCTATGGGCGAGACTTCCGGTTCATTAGCCGTTGTGAGGGAAATAACGAGAAGAATAACAACGTGCAGTAAACGGTAAAACTGTTTGCACTACAAACCAGTGTGTTCATAATTAAGATAATGCATTATGGTAAGACACACCAATTTGCAGTCTCAAGCAGCAAAACGAGCTGTTTTGTACAGCTAAAAATAGCTGGATGTAATAGGTGTCGCATCCCTATAAGTAGACGTGGATCAGCTGAGAGTCAGCTTACGCGAGCTTAACTAACGTGACCTGCCAAAACTGACGCTACTCTTGATTTATATTCCCCTCACTCCACAAAAAGTCCCGTAAATTTAGCAGTGTTCCGAACAGAAAAGGAAACGTCCAATTATTTCCATGCTTTCCCATGAAATTACAGTGGCCTTGAGCAGGAGGATAACACTGGCTTTTGTTCTTTTACTGGAAAGTCTAAAAAAAATGTTTTTAACATTTTTAAAACAGTACCAATACTGTTTTTAAACAAATGAACACGTTCAATTTTTAAACACGTAACTATTTACAAACTACGCCAGTTTTGTAGAAATAATATGGTAAGACACCATTTTTCAATATCAAGCAGCAAAATGAGCGGTTCTGTACAGCTAAAAATAGCTGGACACGGATGAGACCGGAAGCCAGACCCATAAAATGTACAAATTCCCGCTCTTATAGGAAAAATAAGGTGGATAATCGTGTTGGAAGCAGGGTTGCCAAGTCCGCGTTTTTTATTTTATTTTATTGGACTGCTTTTAAACTGTTGCCGTTGGGTTGATTTTTCCACTTGTGTGTTAAAGGTTTGAAATATGGCATCAATTAAATTTCACTGAAATGCTTGTAGTGAAATATTTTGTGTTCTACATATGATAAAACTGTGCTGCATGTTAACTTTTGTGAAGGAGGGCCACTGGTAGGAAGCCTTTGAACTGTGTTTATGAACAATCTGCACAACAGTGACTGTAAAATATGTATTTTAGGTATGGAAATGGCATATAAGAGTTTTGATATTTGGGATATGGTCATTGCACTACTTTGGGCTGTTTTTGACTGGACATCGGGCTTGTTTTGTCATGCAGACCTGGCAACCCTGGTTCATAATTAAGATAATGCATTATGGTAAGACACACCAATTTGCAGTCTCAAGCAGCAAAACGAGCTGTTTTGTACAGCTAAAAATAGCTGGACACGGATGAGACCGGAAGCCAGACCCATAAAATGTACAAATTCCCGCTCTTATAGGAAAAATAAGGTGGATAATCGTGTTGGAAGCAGGGTTGCCAAGTCCGCGTTTTTTATTTTATTTTATTGGACTGCTTTTAAACTGTTGCCGTTGGGTTGATTTTTCCACTTGTGTGTTAAAGGTTTGAAATATGGCATCAATTAAATTTCACTGAAATGCTTGTAGTGAAATATTTTGTGTTCTACATATGATAAAACTGTGCTGCATGTTAACTTTTGTGAAGGAGGGCCACTGGTAGGAAGCCTTTGAACTGTGTTTATGAACAATCTGCACAACAGTGACTGTAAAATATGTATTTTAGGTATGGAAATGGCATATAAGAGTTTTGATATTTGGGATATGGTCATTTTGACTGGACATCGGGCTTGTTTTGTCATGCAGACCTGGCAACCCTGCTGTAGAGCAGATGCTTTCAGTTTAGAATTGTATTGTATGTTTTCCAACTGCACTAAATGATTTTTATTTCTATAAAAATGCAAAATGACAGTGGGGGTGGTGGTCTAGTAATGTAATCGGTGTATGACCAAACACTGTGTAACACCAACTAGTGCAGTAAGCTTAGTGTTAATGTAACTTCATTATTCTTGTTATGTGCCAAATTGTGGCTATGTGCCCCACACTATATTTTTTGACCGCCCACTTCTCAGCAAGGGTAAAACCGCCTGTTCCCACAAGATATGCACTGGGTCCGATGGGATCCCGTTCCCAATGCAGCCCTCTAGTAGGCCTAAAGATCACGGCTTGAATACTCCTTAGAGCGCAATGCATGCGTTTGTTTTCCGTGTTGAGTGTTCGGTGTTGCTTTCTTAGAATAGAAAATAATTTGCAAAATATAACAGAAAAAGAATAGAACATTAAAAGAATATAAGAAAAACCCCACACACATTCCCCCAGCCCACCTGAAATATCACTTGTCCCACCCCTTCATCTCAAGACGAAATATAATCCAGCGTAAAGGCAACATGTTGTCATGTTGTAAGACAACATCTGTAATGCAAATTGTATTGTTGTTAGAAACCAATGCAGATATTCAGTAAAACAAAAGAGCGGATTTGAGCAGTTACCATACACAGTGTGGACAGTCAGTCATCTAGATCAGATTTGAATCGGATATGCACAAAATGGGATTTGGACTGACAGTGTAAAGAAGGTTCAATGATTGGCTGTGTTGTACTTTCAATTATGTATAGAAAGGAACTGGGTAGTAACTGATTACATGTAATCTGGATTATGTAATCAGATTCCAAAAATTAAGTACTTGTAATTAGATCACATTTTAAAATACTCATTATCAGATTACAGTTACTTTTTTATTGATTACATTTAACAATTTCATTACAAACATTACACAAATTCACATTATTTCTTATTTACATGTAATGCAGGGATTCATGTCATTTGGAGCCAGTAACAGATTACATTTTATAAGTAATCTACCCAGAACTGTAAAGGAATAAACCAAATTATTCTCCTGTATACCATTGGAGCAGTACACGCATGAAGTCTGTCTTTATGTCTGTCCAATGCTTTCCTCAGTATCTCATTTATAATGTAAATGTAATGGCAAACTTATCTTCATTATGTGGTTTTTCTCAGAAAATACCAATGTATAATATTGATTGTATCTGATTAATATTTTAATCTAGACAGTGCAAGTATTTTCACTTCCATTTTTACTGTTCTGGCTCAGCTGTTCAATGCTGCTTTTCTTCAACACTCTCTACTCAACAGGGTTGCCAGGTTCTCATGACAAAACCCTCCCAATTGCAACTAGCCCAATCATGTTTCGAGGGGGGTCCCCGGTAGAAATTGCGTTCTGGTGGGTAAAATACACGTTTTTTTGGCAGGGTTCCCCTGGTAAAATTAGCATTTTAGGGGCTAAATATCACTTTGTTGTGGTCGCTTCAACCCGCGGACATTAAAAACCACGGACTTGGCAACACTGCTACTCAACAACCAAAAGACGTTCAAAGATCTTGAGCTAACACATTCTGTTAGGAACTGCTGCTAATCTTTTCTTCTTATGAATTCTGTGTTTCAGGGGTTTTTAGTACTGATTGGGGTGTGACTTACAGTCCTTCACACATCTGTGCACTAAAGTATGACCAAACACTGTGTAACACCAACTAGTGCAGTAAGCTTAGTGTTAATGTAACTTCATTATTCTTGTTATGTGCCAAATTGTGGCTATGTGCCCCACACTATATTTTTTGACCGCCCACTTCTCAGCAAGGGTAAAACCGCCTGTTCCCACAAGATTTGCACTGGGTCCGATGGGATCCCGTTCCCAATGCAGCCCTCTAGTAGGCCTAAAGATCACGGCTTGAATACTCCTTAGAGCGCAATGCATGCGTTTGTTTTCCGTGTTGAGTGTTCGGTGTTGCTTTCTTAGAATAGAAAATAATTTGCAAAATATAACAGAAAAAGAATAGAACATTAAAAGAATATAAGAAAAACCCCACACACATTCCCCCAGCCCACCTGAAATATCACTTGTCCCACCCCTTCATCTCAAGACGAAATATAATCCAGCGTAAAGGCAACATGTTGTCATGTTGTAAGACAACATCTGTAATGCAAATTGTATTGTTGTTAGAAACCAATGCAGATATTCAGTAAAACAAAAGAGCGGATTTGAGCAGTTACCATACACAGTGTGGACAGTCAGTCATCTAGATCAGATTTGAATCGGATATGCACAAAATGGGATTTGGACTGACAGTGTAAAGAAGGTTCAATGATTGGCTGTGTTGTACTTTCAATTATGTATAGAAAGGAACTGGGTAGTAACTGATTACATGTAATCTGGATTATGTAATCAGATTCCAAAAATTAAGTACTTGTAATTAGATCACATTTTAAAATACTCATTATCAGATTACAGTTACTTTTTTATTGATTACATTTAACAATTTCATTACAAACATTACACAAATTCACATTATTTCTTATTTACATGTAATGCAGGGATTCATGTCATTTGGAGCCAGTAACAGATTACATTTTATAAGTAATCTACCCAGAACTGTAAAGGAATAAACCAAATTTATACCATTGATACCATTGGAGCAGTACACGCATGAAGTCTGTCTTTATGTCTGTCCAATGCTTTCCTCATTATAATGTATATAATGTAAATGTAATGGCAAACTTATCTTCATTATGTGGTTTTTCTCAGAAAATACCAATGTATAATATTGATTGTATCTGATTAATATTTTAATCTAGACAGTGCAAGTATTTTCACTTCCATTTTTACTGTTCTGGCTCAGCTGTTCAATGCTGCTTTTCTTCAACACTCTCTACTCAACAGGGTTGCCAGGTTCTCATGACAAAACCCTCCCAATTGCAACTAGCCCAATCATGTTTCGAGGGGGGCCCCCGGTAGAAATTGCGTTCTGGTGGGTAAAATACACGTTTTTTTGGCAGGGTTCCCCTGGTAAAATTAGCATTTTAGGGGCTAAATATCACTTTGTTGTGGTCGCTTCAACCCGCGGACATTAAAAACCACGGACTTGGCAACACTGCTACTCAACAACCAAAAGACGTTCAAAGATCTTGAGCTAACACATTCTGTTAGGAACTGCTGCTAATCTTTTCTTCTTATGAATTCTGTGTTTCAGGGGTTTTTAGTACTGATTGGGGTGTGACTTACAGTCCTTCACACATCTGTGCACTAAAGGACTCATTAGTGATAATGAGCTGCACTTATACATACCCTACTGGACATCAGATCACGAAAGGGTTCTGGACCAAACAACTTGTTAAATATGAAGATACAAGTGAAGTTGATGATGAAGATAAAGATTCAAAGTTTCCAGATCTGTCTAAGGACCCTAAATACAGTCAGAGGCTTCAGTATCTGGTAGATAAACAGCAGAACTGCACCATCAGACTGAGTCATGTGACACAGAAGGATGAACACATGTACTATTTCAGATTCATCACTGATAAAGATAAATGGCTTGGTGTTCCAGGAGTGAGTCTTACTGTAACAGGTGACTTTCATAAGGCTGAGCTCTTCTTCTGAGCATTATGTTGAGTAATAATCAGTGTATGACAGCAGCACTAGATATAATGTGTGTGTTGTGTTCAGATCTTCAGGTGGAGTCTCCTGAGAGAGTGACAGAGGGAGATTCAGTGCGTCTGACATGTAAAAGCAGCTGCGCTCTGACTGACAGAGCAACATTCATCTGGTACAGAAACTCACAGCCATTAACTGAGAGAAGAGACAGAAACAATCAACTCCTGCTGCAGTCAGTCAGAAGAGAGGATGCAGGCAGATACAGCTGTGCTCTACACGGACACACTTACATCTCTCCTGCTGTTTATCTCAATGTCACGTGTGAGTACAGATTCATTAGTATATAAATAGTTGAGTTTATGTTTGGGGGGGAGGAAAATTACTTTTGTCTTTTTTAGACCCACCTAAGAGCGTCTCAGTGTCCATCAGTCCATCTGGTGAAATAGTGGAGGGAGATTCAGTGACTCTGAGCTGCAGCAGTGATTCAAACCCACCTGCAGAAATCAGCTGGTTTAAAGGAGGAATGTTTGTAGGATCTGGAAGAATCTACAGCATCTCAAAGATCAGCTCTGATCACAGTGGAGAATACAAGTGCAAGTCCAGAAACAAACTTGGAGAGAAATACTCTGATGCTGTGACTTTAAACGTCATGTGTGAGTTAATGATAGTTCAGTAACTGTGACTTTAAATCCTCTAAACATACTCTATGATGTTACATTTATTGTAATACTTAATGACGTCAATGTTTTTCTGTGATAGATCCTCCAAAGAGCGTCTCAGTGTCCATCAGTCCATCTGGTGAAATAGTGGAGGGAGATTCAGTGACTCTGAACTGCAGCAGTAATTCAAACCCACCTGTAGAAAACAGCTGGTTTAAAGGAGGAATGTTTGTAGGATCTGGAAGAATCTACAGCATCTCAAATATTAGCTCTGATCACAGTGAAGAATACAAGTGCAAGTCCAGAAATAAACATGGAGAGAGATACTCTGATGCTGTGACTTTAAACATCATGTGTGAGTTAATGGTTTATTCATTTTGACAAGACATTCTCTAAATATCTGTAATCCAACACAGTCTCGAAAAATTTGTTGCAACTAATTCATACATTTTTATATGATCTGCACATGCCCTGCTGAGGGTCAGGTTTAGAGGTGCTGGTTCATGCTTGCTTTATTGCAAATCATTGGTTCTATTAATCACATAGCATACACTCCTATGAAATTTGTAAATCATTCTTACTGTTTCTAATGATTCATCATTACATCTCTCCTGCTGTTCATCTCAATGTCATGTGTGAGTATTTGGTCATAATTTGAAAAGTTAAAAAGTTTGACGACTATAAATCTGAAATTAAAATATTATTTCATATTTAGCTCATCACCTGTGAAATTTTATAAACATTATTTCCACATCCTAAAGTGAGTATCTCCTGACAGGAAAACAAGAGTGAAAAATGTTGTCAGATGTTAACGTGAGAACTTGCATTGTTATTGCGACAAACGGAACACAACAGAATATTCAACACGGGAGAAATTCAACTCAAAGAAGAAATTACATAATTTTCTATGAGCATTTTTTTTTTTTGGATCAATCTTGATTTGTCAAAACAGTGGACAAGTCAGAGTGAATTGCTGCATGCACACGTAGAGCTGTGCACATGTAGCGGACCAACAGATTTTCACAGATTTTCAACAAATTACATTTCAGTTTCAGTTTGATGTCAGTATCACATCACATGTATAGAGTTCGGTTTTTAAAAGACAACTCTGAAAACATATTCTTCCAATTTCCTTGTTCTGTGTTTTCAGATATTCTTTGCATTACCAGGTATAATAATTATAAGTTTTGGTTGCTTAATTGAGACAAATTTGCATGTACAGAATTTTGTAGCTGGCACAGTGGTAACTTTTTTCATTATTTGTCAGGTGTAGGCTATGGGATAATACAAACATGAAGCTTAAGCTTCTATCAAACATATAACTTAAGCTTGTATCATTAGTTTCCACTGTGAAACCTAACAGCAACCAAAATGCAATGTTTTGAAATAATTATGTTCCCAAGTTATTGAGGATGATGATGATGATGATGACGACACTTCATTTTCTAAACATACTGTAGTCTCAAATTTATGGTTTATGGATTTTTTTTTTTTTTTTTACATTTTTAGACTCTCCAAAGAATGTCTCAGTGTCCATCAGTCCATCTGGTGAAAAAGAAGATTCAGTGACTCTGATCTGCAGCAGTGATTCAAACCCACCTGCAGAAAACATCTGGTTTAATGAGAATCAAAGCTCAGCTGTTGGATCTGGACAGAGTTTCAGTGCACTACAGAGTGGACGCTTCTACTGTGAGGCTTACAATCAACACGGATCTCAGAGATCAGACGCTGTTACTGTCACTGTTAAAGGTAAATCAGTTAAATATTTCTGCTGAGCATTTGTTTGAAAAATTATGAATGAATTCTACTGTGAGGCTTACAATCAACACGGATCTCAGAGATCAGACGCTGTTACTGTCACTGTTAAAGGTAAATCAGTTAAATATTTCTGCTGAGCATTTGTTTGAAAAATTATGGATGGATGGATGGATGGATGGATGTTTTGAAGGTGTGGTTTGCAGAAGTGCTGGATGTGACAGATGATATGATGAAAGCTTAGCTCATTGATATTATTCAGGCTGTATTGACGTTGCAAGGTAAACTCACTGGACTTTCCATTCTTACAAATTGCTTCCAATTAATATTTATCAAGCTAGTCGAAACTAAATGTTGTATTAAAGACTTGTAGACCCACCAATGAACTGAAATTTAAATAAGACGTTCATTTAATTCGTGTATAAAAATTGCACATTTTCATACCATTTATTTTGTCAGCCAAAGACCTGCCAGAATACACTGGCTGGCATATTATATTTTTAGTCACCATCAAACATTTTCTGATTTCTGCATCTAATAAATGCTGCATATATTGCTATTTGTACATACATAAGATCATACTGTAGTTTTCATTCTTTTTCAGGAGGAGATAAAACAGTCCTGTACGCAGCTGTTGCGATCGCAGCCGGATGTGGACTTTTATTTCTTATCTGCATCATCATGTTCATAAGGTGACATCTTTAATAATGCACGATGGTGTACTCATTAATAATTATGAATGTGTGTTTGTGTTTACAAGCTTATCTCTGCACTACAGGAAGACAAAAAGTGGAGTTGCAGACGTCAGACAGAAGCAGGTCAGAACACAGAAATATCTCGGTTTCTGTCATGACAATGAAATCACAACTTCGTTATGTCGTGTTTTATAAAATATGTTTTTTTTTTTTATTCTTTGGATCTGAATCTGAAAGAATGAGAAATCAGTGAAAATGAGCTAAAGGGACATGCATCTCATGCAGGTGATTTTACTTTTACACTTCACTTTTCTGAAAGGTGTTGGCTTCTTTCTCCAGGTTCAACAGCCTTCCAGCTCTGAGAGGAACCACTGTGATGATGGTCTGTATGCCAGAGTTTCACCCAAGAGACCCAGCGCAGATCAGACCGCGGGAAAAGCCAAAAAGATAGTGTACGCAACCTTCCAACACATCCGAAACAATGAGAGCAACGAGAATCTGAGAGTGCACCATCCTGATCCTGCTGCGAGGTGAGAAACAAAATTGGTTTGAGTCACATTTTCTTTTTATTTTGAAACGTACTAATTGCCTCAGAATTGACTGACCTATGATCGGCTCCTGCATTACTTGTGGTGGATCTTAAATGGTCATCCACACTTCATATTTGATTGTGTTGTTCCACAGATTCGATGCGATGGTGGGTAAATCAGTGATTTACAGCAGAATCAAGTGATCCAGGACTCGTCACATGGATTAAAATTGAAGCTGAACTCAATCAGCTGAGTGTAAATATACTGCAGCTTTGAATCAGATGTTTATAATAGTGATTTAAATGTGTGTCAAGACACATGACATTTCTCCCTGGCAGTAGTTGAATAGGAAGTACGTACCAATACCACAAACTAAGAATGTCCATGGTGGTTATTTACATCATTGTACCTAGATATTTTTAAGACCGTGGTTTGTGATTGGTGCGTCTGTGTGGGGAAGTTACAACCTCAACTAGCTGCATTTAAACGCCTGTCGAAACTCTTTCTGTTAATAGCATGTTTTGTAATGTTTCCAAAGATTTGTGTAATTTTCCATGAATTGCAGTCTCGGTGTTACGTGTCTTAGTCACTCTTCAGTAAGCATCCGTTTTTGTGTCTTTTGTGTCTGTTTTTCATGTTTCATAAAACATGTTTGATGCTTTGACATTATAATTTCATGCATGTTTAATGTATTGGTATATTTTAAGATTTAAATAAAGTTTATACATGTATGTTTTTGGTGATGTTCATGACATTAGAAATACATGAATTCGTTACATTTTCATATGTTGAATGTTGATGGTTTTGTTCTGTAGCCTACATTAGCTTGACAATGGCACGGTTTCACCTCGTCAACGCCGATGACGATTTTGAGACGCTCCTCTTTATGTGATACGTTTAAACGGGAAAATACTGGACATCAAAAATCCCTTTTTTTTTCTTCCTAACAACGTGATGTGATCGCGCGCCTTTTCTGAGGCAGAGAAAACACTACTGCACATGTGCAGAGTAAAAGCCAGGGCTGCGTTCAGCCCCGACAAAAACGGTGCAAAACGTTGCACACCGGTTTGAGCTTGAACTTGCCCCTGTTCTCACAAGGTTATCGCGCGCTTTACAGTCAGATGGATTCTGATTGGCTGTCAGTGTTTTTATCGTTCATCAAGCGGGGAAAAATGATTCTTCAGTGTTACCATTATTAGAGCGATTTTTAAAACATTGGTGTTAACAGGTCACCTTTAATCTGATGGGTGACTGCAGAAATGCAGTGTTAAAATTACACAGATTTTCAGATCGATCTTATTCAAGTCAAGTAGGTAATAGTATTAGGCGGAAAACAATTTCAGTAGAGATATACTTACCTAAACTGTGCACCACAGCGCAGTGTAGTCTATGAGTAGAATGGTTTTTGAGTGCAGTGCAGTCCTCTTTAGTTTCTCTCCAGCTGACCTGAGGTCTCAATAAATTAAAATAACACAACAAATCATAACGGAATGTTTATGTATAACCAAACAATATCTTTTAGGCACAGCTAAAATAACCGGAAGCTTATGACACCGGAAGCCTCGCACATTCAAGTTGCAATTTGCTGCGCCGCTCTTACATTAAAAAGGTGAGTGCACAAAAATCTCTCTTGGATAAAGGTTAAAGGCCACTCACACAAAACATTGTGCAAACCAATAGCGATGCACCAATATAGAAATAATTTTTACAGACTGATTTTTCCAAATGCATAATAAAAAAAAAGTCAAGTTGAGCGCGTTGCATTGTGGTATACAGTATTGCATGCAATGCATTCTGGTTGTGTACTGCACATTTTGACAAATGTTCATGACAGCACATTGTTAATATACAGAAGATGCTCAGTATGCATATTTACCACAGAAATATTGATAGTCACAGTGTCAAGTCAACCTAATGTCTCTAGTCTATTAAAACTGGGATACAAGACGGTATTTAATTGGAAACAAATTAATAGGCCTACACCATAAAAATAAACAGGCTGATACTGATAGTTATCAATCATGAACTAAAACATGTTTGGTTTGATATGCATGACTTCGCAAGCTGTCGTTGGTTTTCCTTGGGTTAAGGCTAAACAGCAGCGCACTGTTAAAACAAACCATTCAAGCTGTAATGATTTTACTGGCTTCCAGCAGAGACCCGCAAACCACAGAGACACTGAGAAAGACCGTTTCTGCGTCAGGTCAGTGCTGTTAATAATAACCTGTCACACACACTCAGAGTCATGTCTGAGTTATCCGTGCTTTCATTCCAGCCGTGCTTGAGACAGCTGAGCGGGAGAAAGTCTCAAGACTCAAGACAGATCAGATGAGAGCTGGGCTTGGAGATCAGCCCACAAACGATTGGAGGAATGGGTCAGAAAGATGAAACCCTGAACAATGACATAATGACCATGGAAACACAGTTACTGTCATGGTTCTGGTGGTCCAGTGTGAGATGAATAGAGGGACGTTTGCCCAGGATATGTGAGCAAACAAACACCAGATTTGCTGTCTGAAAATATCACCGATTTTGACAGAATTTTGGTGGAAAACACTTATCCAGATATGATAGAGATGCTCCGATCTGCCAATAAAAATGAATTTGGTTGCTTTCTTAATGCATGTTCCTGGTCTTAATGCGAATGATTCATTAGTGCATGTTGTTTTCAGAAATATGTATGTCTGAGGGAAAGTTCAACAGAATGAAATGAAGATCCCCTGAACACATGCTGGGAGTCCATGAACAGCTGTAAACGCCTGTCTCACATAGAGAGGAACGATCCAACTTGGCGGTAATTCACGGAAAACAGTTAAGCGGTAAAGAGCGGTTCATATTTTACATCAAGGATTAATAAAACTCTGGTTCAGAATCACACAAGGCTGGAAATTCAATCTCAGAATGAATGCACAACACTTAATATGAGCCTGGCACAGTGCGCTGTTACGTTATTGAGAACTTCAGCTTGGAAAAGGTGGCAAAAAGTGAATGCTAAAGACGACATGCATCTGCAATGCATTTCTAAATGCGAAACGGTATTCTGACAGAAATAAGGGATTTGTTTGGTTAATAGTGTTTCTCTGTGGACATTTAGGCAGTTGGTCTTGGTTAGGTTAACAGAAACGTCTTCTCAGAAGTGGAAAAAACTGCCGAAAAACAAACATTTTCTTTAAAATAAGAAGCACTGATGAATTGTGTATTACAATACCAACGCATTTATTAACTCAGCAAACACAAACCGTTCCTTTAGCATTCTCATATGTTCATTTTTGGGAACCAAATAACATTTAAAAAAAAAACATTATTTTTTAATCCAGAAAAAAACCTTCCCAGAATGTTCTAGGAACCAATAATTAGCTGGGAAGAAATGATAATCATCGTTATTTTGGCCATTTTGATATAATGTCTTAAGCTCGAACCATCCTCAATTAACACCAACCATATTTTCTCAAGGCTTGTTCAACATTATTTCATGTCATACTTCAAGTTTTTAAACCGCAGCACTCAAGGGGGCGCTAGAGTTTCCTTCAAATGTATGTTTAATTAAACCAGATGTGTTATCATTACAGCTAGCTATATATCAACATTTGTCTGGTAGGGTTAGATGGATAATTGATTAAACCAACTGACGGCAGTTGAATTGAAAACAGACCGGCGTCCAGGTAACGTACTTTGAGCTACGACATCATGGCTTGTGTAGCTGAACTCGCTTGTGTTCACGATAATAGGAAAATTTCGCAATTTTCTCCACAGTTGGGCAGTTTGTACAGAAAACACCCAGCAACACAAACACAGAAAATGACACCATGATGTTTCCATTAGGAGTGTTTTATTCCAGACTCGGAGTCCAAGGAACAGAAACAAACACACAGCATAAACGCACACACACAGTACACTCAAACTCACTCGTGAACACATGAACACAGTCCAGACGTCAGTCAGAAGAATTGACCGCTCAATAACTATAAACAAAGCTTTAAACAAAAGCAGCGTTCATCGTCTCGCAGCAGCACACATGCGTGCAGGCAAGAGCTCATCACACGGATCCGAGTGTTACGACACACTTTCTCTGTATGGATTTCAGACGAATGGAATCAGGCAACAAGAACAGACGGAAACAAGCAAACACAACTTCTGTCTGTAACCAAGAACAGCACCTTCAGGGAGGACTGATGACTGAGATCCATCCATCTGGAACCATCCCATCTGAAAAACCTGCCAAAACACACTCAGGCCTCATTTCACCCCAAAATCAACACAAGTAAAAAAGAAATATTTTGCATTAAAAAAAAAATCACAAAATTTCATTGTGACTATTCTCAGGACAATTAAAAAAAATCCCCAATTTTAAAAATATTATTATTTAAATTCAGCACTACAAATAGAGCAATTGCACATAACTATTTCACTATTTAAATACGATGTTACTGTGTTACTATGTTACAATAACAACAACAAATAATGATGATGATGATAATAATAATAATTATTATATCAGTAATGTTAAAGTAAATGAAATGAAATAAGTGAAATATTTATACATGATGGCAGGATTTACAGTACAGAATTTAAATTTAATTTATGCTGATTAATAGTATTACTGTAAAATTAAAACATTTGACAGTAATAAATCTAAAGAAACCCGAGCTGAAAATTATATATTATAAATGTATATATTTATAAATTAAAATAAAAATGTAAAAATATAATAATAATAATAAAACGCCTTTGGATGAAATGCAGTAATGAGAATTTTAGAGGGGCAATTTATTTAATTATTATAACAATTATTTCAAAAACCTGGTTATAAAATAATCCAACTTTTATTTAAGTATCCTAAATGTAATATCTTATTTATTTATTTTGATTTTGGGATAAAATGTAACCTTGGACCAAGGCGTGAAAAAAAAAAAATAATTTAAATTTCATGTTTTCATGAGATTCACCAGAGTCCGTAAAGTTCAGCAGAGGATTGTTGTGTGTGTCTCTCAGTCTGCGTCTATGTGGCAGGGGTTTGTTCCCACGTCCAGAGCCGCGTGGTACAGTCTGATGAAGTCTTTATAGAGAGGAGCACACCCCAGCCACGCTTCCCCGAACCGCACAGCTCCTGTGAAGAGGAACTCGCCCTGTCCTGCCTGCGGGCCGCAGCGCTGCGGCATCTTCACTCGACCCGTCCACCGGCCGCGCCCGCGCCCCCCGCCGCCGGACACAAACACACGGCTCTTCTGACGGTACACGTGACTCAACGACACCACCACTGACGCCTGATCTTCATCATCCTCCTCCTCCTCCACGTGATGAATACTGCCGCGCACCGCTGAGAGACAGAGAGCAGCGACAGAGATGTACCACGATTTACAGAATAAAAGTCACAAATTTTTGACATCTGAATCGTGCTGCAGCTTATATAACACAAATAACGTTAAACAGGCAAAACATGCATGAAGTATTTTCTTGTTTTTATTAACTTGTTTTCCGAAATTCAAGCTGACTTTTTTTTATCATCTGAAACGTGCTGACTTTTTTTACAAAGTGGCTTAAGAATGCAATCAACATCAAGCATGCAAAACAAAGTGTGTTTTATTTTATTAACCAGTACAACTTATTTTAACAACTTTGTTTTTTCTCTCAACAACGCAGTTTTTAATCTGTGTGACTTAAGGTCCTTGCACACCGAGTCCGAAATTTTCATATACGATTTTTCATTTTTTTCGTATTCGTCATCCTTTCCTATCTAAATGCTTGCTACAGATGTGAAAACGCAGAAAATCGAACCTGATCCGAATTTTTTTTTATGACAGACGAAAATTTCGGAGGCAGTGTGTAAACGTGATTGACATAACGTGAGGTCGTATTTATTTTTTAACGTGCGAAAATTTGCAGACAGGAATTTCAGACTCAGTGTGCAAAGACCTTTATAGTCAGGTATGACTTATTTCCAGGAAAATAATGGTACATTATGGCAGGGAAACTAATAGTTCAAAGCAGTAAGAAGCAGGTTTAACTTACCGAAGTCGCTGGTGCAGATCGCCATCAGCAGCTCGTCATTAGCGCAGGGTCTGCATGCAGCTAAAACACACACACACACACACACACACACACGTTACATGAGTCTGAGACTGCAGCTGTGTCACACTCACACACACACACACATGAACGCAGGGAAATGGAGACACATTTCCTCCTCAGATGCGTCGGGCCTGTGCTGCGTCACACCCGTCACACTCCAGCTGTGTCTGAGTCCTGTGATCTCTGACCTTTGCCCTCTGACCCCATTCAGATATTATCATCATTATCTGCCTTTCCTGCCGCCAAACCCGGCATCTGACTGAGATTAAACCACATTACAGCATGTTAAACATCTGTAAAATAAACACACATACATTTAAAAAAGGCTTTTATGGTTGATTTGTGCTTAATACTTGAAAAGTCCACCCAGTGATATTAGAGCTCCTCCAGTGCCTAATACTTTTAAAGGTTGTATATTTGTGCTGTTTAGCCTTTTAATATTTTAACACAAGTTTGTTTTTACTGTTGTAATTGTCGTCTGTTACTCACAATGTTCAGTAGCATTGTAAAAATGTACATCCACAAAAATCTAACATTCTCAGAACATTTATTATTATAACAATTCTCAGAATAGGTTTTATATTCACAACAATAAAAAAATAAAAAAATAAAACATATATAGAACGTTCCTGAATGGTTATTTTTATATTTTATATTTACTTTTTATATTTATTTAACTAAATATTTCTTAAAGGTTATTTTTACATCTTAAATTCACAGTTATAAAACAACTTCTACAGAAAGTTCACTACTGGTTATTTTTAGGTTTTATTTATAAATGTTATGGTGTGTGCACACCAAAAACTAAGCTAATATTCACATCACGTTATCGCTCTAGATTACTTGTGGGATGTTTGTCGTGTCATTCAAGCAAATAAAATCCTTGCGTAATGCTGTCCTTCATTTTCTGACATAACCGGACGTGTCAATAAGCTCTTTGCTGATTGGGTTGCGTGACAACACGTCATGCAAATTTTCCACTCGAATTCAAATTTTTCAACTTGCGTGGAAGACGGAATTGAGGCATATATCGTGCGTTCATGGCAATCGCGTTGCCTAATTCGCGTCATTCCCATCGCTCAGCGTGAATTTGCTTCTATTCGAGTATTTGCATTGACTTTGTATGTAATCTACTCAAGCAAATAATTAAATTCGCTTTTGGTGTGCACACACCATTACACTTTTAATATAAACCATAAAAATGCATTGTGAGAACGAAACGTTCTGGCAACCAAAACTGATTCCTCAAAACAAATGCATAGAAAAAAAGATGAACAGTTTAACGTTATAGGTGTATTAATGTTGTATAATGTTGATTAAAACTACTATTTCATTTATTATAAAAACAGGCTGTCATAGTTCACTCAAGTGAGTCATGTGTGCTGATGAATCAGCAAAGGATTCGTTACAATGATTCAAACAGATCAGAGGTGAATCAGACTACACTGGTTGTGCTGCATGTTTGTTTTTGCATGTTTTAGAAAACACTATCATATATTTATCATTTTTTCCTCATCACTTTCAGTTAAGACTAACAAACTGGGTAAAATGTAAATGTAAAGCATTGATCTCCAGACTCGCCCTGTGAAACGATTCAATGTAAATGTGATTTGTCACCTGATTTAACACATAAAAGCACATTCAGACTCACACTTGCATAAACCGCTCTAAACTGCTCTTTAACGACTTCCAGCACCTTCCACCCCGCGGCTAACGGCTCATTAAAGAGCGGAGCTGAGATTGTGACGGGGGAAGGGACGCGTTTTACTGATCGCACGCAAACCAGAGCCAAACCAGCGCTCTTATTTTATTATGAGAGCTCAATCCTCAGATCAGCTGTTCAGACAGAGCTGCTGACAAACACACAGCGCGAGTGTGAGACGAAACCAGACTGAGATCCAGTCCCGCAGATGAGCGCTACGAGCTTGAAGAGCTCAGCTACAACATTACCAAACACACAACCTTCCCCTAATGTTAGCATTCGGTTAGGTTCTTGAAAAACTATTTTATTTTATTTTATTTAGAAAATACATTTCCTATAATGATGCAGCAAGATTTTTTTTTTATTTTTTTGTTTTATAACTTGCACAGAACGTTCCCTAATAGTAATTTTTAGGTTCGCTAAAGGTTTTATATATATATATATATATATAAATTCACAACTGAATAACTTACAGAATATTCCCTAATAGTTATTTTTAGGTTCACTAAACGTTATTTTTAGGTTTTATATTCTGAAGTGTAAAGTAACTTTTACAGAACGTTCCCTAATGCTTATTTTAATGTTCTTTAATGGTTACTTTTAGGTGTTATATCTACAATTGTAAAGTAACTTTTCCAGAATTTTCCCTAATTGTTATGTATTAGATTTTTATTTATAAACTTTAAATGTATGTTCTGTGAATCAAAATCTAACATTCTCAGAACGTTCTGGGAACCATAAGTGACTGAAACAGCTGTCTTATGAGCACCGCAGACTTCAGTTAAAGAGTCCGTTGAACCAACAAATCACAGTTTGATAACCCTATGATGAACAGAATGGAATTTATTGACTGAAAATCTGACAAACATGCGATTCTGGTCATATGGATGACTTTTATGGTACTTTTTTGGAGCTTGAGCTTGTATAAATCAGGGTCCACTTTCATTGCTTACAAGAGAACAGTTCAGACATTGCTAAAACACACACACAGACACACACTCACACACACACACACACAAGCGTGAGCGTGAGTGAGACCAACAGGTGAGGAGCTCAGGACACCTCGAGACTTACATGTTTACGAATCTAAAGCCTCTGGGAATGGAGCGGGAAAAGAGAGGGGGAAGGGAAACAAAAGAAAAAGGCATTCTGAAGGGGACTCCAGGTAGCTATGTGGAAGAAATGAAGGGCAAATTATTAAGATTTCAGTATTTAGCCTGTGATTCTCTACAAAGAGAACTGAATTGTATCATTACAAGTCCCTCTTGAAACTATTAAGCTACTCTGTAAGAGCTCATCTCACCTTCACAGACAATACAAGAGCATCTTTCATATCAATCCAACCAATGAGAGTGGACCTGAGCGAGCATCAGACCAATCAGACGCAGCGCTGGCTGTGATTGACAGCTCTACAGGCTGCTTGACCCCGGCGGGACCTCCTGATTAGACTGTTTATTTTCTTATGTGAGGCTGAACACGGATCTGGGGGAGCAGCGGGGGCGGATGGGTTTTACAGGGTCAGACGTTTTACAGCCTCTCTAAACCAGTCTTTCATGTGAATGACGGCCATTTGACAGACAGTGTTGTTATTCGACCCCCAACACAACCCTCTCTCTCGCTTTCTCACATATTCCTGAATACGCTAGAGCTGGCTAATATGGTGAATATTTACAATATATTCAATATTGTATTTTTTGATTATATAAAATTCACTAACAATGTAAATATTATGATGAAGTTTCTCAAGATCACGTCGGTAAACGTTTCGCACCCGAAAATATTTAATATTCTGGAAAATACCATGTTTATGTAATAAATACCATGAAAATACCATGTTTACTTATGTTTCAATCAAGTGAATCAGTGCAAAATTCATTTGCATCCTAATTAAAAAACAATACAAAAGATACAGTGTTGATAGAGTTATATTAAAACTAAAAACTATTGAAAATCATCTTTTGTTATTTAAAAAAGCTGAAGAAATATTAGATGAAGTTATTTGACAAAAATATTCATCTAACAAATATTACATATTAAATATTAGATGAAAAACCTAAAAAAAATCTACAAAAATTTGAAATTTGTTCGTTTAACCGAAGCAACTAACCGAAATAAAAGTTGAAGTACTAAAATTATGAAAACTTATGAAAAAAGTTAAAAATAGTTTAAAAAGCTAAATAATGTTTAAAATTACAAAAACAAAATTACTAAAACTTACACAAAAATTAAAGCTGAAAATAAAAAAAACAAAATCAAATTCAATATATATATATATATATATATATATATATTGAACTATATACTATAACACATTATAGTATGTATTTAATACTAAAATATCATTGTCGAGATGTCCCTGCATGGCATTTTGCATGTTTTCATTTTGTATTAAAAATAGGTAATTATTATTATTATTTTTCTGTATTAAAAAATAATATTGTGCATTGCTAAATTGGTATATAAATAAAATGTCAAATATATTTTAAACAATAATAATTTTGTGTATTGTTAAATTGGTTTATATAAATAAATAAAACATTAAATATATTTTCTGCATAAATTTAATGAATAAGGGTAATAATCATGCCTGATTATTATTAATATTATTATTATATTTTACTCCTTGCATTGAATGCATTTGTCAACAATGTGATTATGATTGTGATTATGATTCTTTTGACTGGGAAATATAAATAATAAAAAAATAAAAAAAAAACATTTTTAAGGGGCTATTCACATGCCGTGCCTAAAAACATGTGGAAAACGCTAGGCGCTGCTTTCTGCTTTTTTCCAAAGCATTCGGGCGCTTGCGCTCCGGAGGCGTCTGCCGTTGCTAAGCAACCATGACCTGCTCTCTCCATGACGACGCGGAAGTTTCAGCAAAGGATAAGTGGATTTGCAGCACTGAAAATCGCTTGCAGTAGCTCTGCTACTAAATTTATTTAAAAATGGCTATCCCCGTACAGCTATGATCAGCTGTTCCTTCATATTGGCTGAGCTTTCAATGTTGTCACGGGAAAGGATGAAGCTGATTGGTTGGTTTTTGTCACATGAAAATGCGCTTGCGGCATTCTGAAAAGTTGAAATGTTTTTATCTCAATGCGGCTGGAAAAAAATGAGTGCGTCGCTTCCATTATAAGCTGGACTGCTGCGCGTCTACATTTGAAATAACAAACTTGAGCGCGCGAAAGACGCGATATGTGAACGGCCCCTTAAAGGCATTTCAGGGCAAGTGTATAAATATCGAGGTAAAGTCTGAATTGACAGTTTTGTTGTCAGTATACCTGCATGTGAGTGTGGCTGGTCTCCGGAGATCAGCTGGTACTGGAAGGCAGTGATTCTCCGGCTGATGTCCTGGCGAGCGGAGGCCTCCACGAACAGCGCCCCCTCCTGCAGACTGAAGCAGCGCACGCGTCCAGCCGCCTGGTCTTGCTCCGTCAGCAGCAGCCGCAGCGCTCCGGCCCGCTCCACGTACAGCCTGGCCCCGCGCGAGTCCGGCCGCGGCTTGACGCAGGCGCGCAGGTGACCCTCCGCCCTCTGCAGGTTGGGCCTCAGGTTGACGATGATAGCTCCTGTGGGATAGAGCCACTCCAAAGAGCCTTCGGCACAGCGCAGGTACACCTGCTCCACGTCCCGCGCATGAGACTCGTGCATCAGACCACTGCAGACAGACAGAGAGAGAGAGAGCACAAACAGAGCTAAGCCTTTCTCAACCGAGACACACGGTCACAAACCCTGGTGGACAGTCCTCCTGGAGAATCACAGCGTTTCAATATCAGATGAACTGCACACAGACTCCAGGAGAGCTGAAAATCTTATACGATAATCTTGAAATGTATGCATTTGTTTTGAAATGCCTTTAAAATATACTTTTTTTTATTTCAGTCAAGGGAATTAGAATCACAGCCATTGTTACCAAATATATTCAAATGTTTAATGCAAAAAGTCGTTTTCCACATTTTGTTCTACTAAATGAGAATAAACTAAACAAAAACTAAAATAATACTCAAACAAATGTAAAAATAAATTAATTAATAGCTAAAATAAATAAATAAACTACAATATAATAGAAAAATATACTAAAATACCACTTGAAAGACGAAGAGAATTTATTTTCATTATTTTATTTATATGCACCAATTTAGCAATGTACAATTTTAGCAATACAGAAAAATAAAAACAATAATTACCTCTTTTTGTCCACAAAATAAAAGCATGAAAGAATGTAAAATGCCATGCAGGGGCAACTTTCCAGTGTTATTCTAGTATTGTTTATATACTATTATAGTATTTATTCATATTTTTAATTATCTTTATATTTTAATTTTTGTTTTGTTTAGTTTTACAAATTTTGTTATGTGCTTTTGTCATTTTTATTATTATTTTTTTTTAATATGTGTTTACATTTAGGCTATTATTGTTATTATTCCAGTTTTGATCCAAATGTCTTGCTGCTCAGTCAGTGCAGAGAAACACAACTCTTTATTTTTCAAATGACAGAAATCTGAGAGCTCGACAAATTGTGATGTCCACGGCTCTGATCTGTGCTGTGACCTTCAGGATGAGCGTGACCTGCTCCTCATCTCTAAGAGCAACATCAGGAGAGATCAGATGTCAAACGTGTGAGATATTAGCTGAAGCCAAGCAGCTTATCGTATATGAGCTGGGTTGCATGCAGATGAAAGATATGGCACAAGCTGTCATCCAGATGTGACATTTTCATTTTCCCCACTATATACAGCGCTTTCAAGTGCTTGTGGTTTGGCTTATTTCGGGATGATTACAGTGTTAGTGTCTGCTCCGGCTGGATCGCAGAGGCTTTGAGATTTACACTCGTCAGGTGTACAGTATGGAAAATTATGACATCCTTCTGAAAAAAAAGTCCAATTCACTTTACCAGTTGAGTTTGTCCAATCTCATACATGTAAAAAATAATTGGCTGATTCCAAAATACAGATTGATCATATTCCTGCATTTCCACCAAATATTGAAGCACTGGGTCTTCATGAGGGTGAGTAAATGATGGCTGGGCTCCAGCTGGGGTCTGGGGGGCGTTATAATTAAACTGACGGGGTTGGGTTTCTGCTGAAATCAGTGCCAAATGTTTTCAGAGCAAAAGAGCCGAGCTTCGCACACATGACCCCGAAATTCCCCTCCATTTCATCCGGCTTGCTTTTAATTAACGTTATTAAATCATTTTCTGGAGTCAATTAAGCTGTGCGGCGCGTAATAGAGGCCAGATTCGGCGCAGTCTGCTTTAAAGTGTCAAATGAAGGAGTTGAAAAGAGAACAGACAAAAACACAGTCAATGAGAGAGAGAGAGAGAGAGAGAGATGGATATGAACGTCACTGTGGGCGCATTAAATACTATAAAACAAATCAGTGGCAATTTTTCGTCAGTCATTTTTCGCTTCAGCGCTGTGTTCGATTCATTTGAGTGAATCGATTCTTTCGAACGGTTCTTTTTTTTTTTTTTTTTTGAGTTCGTGAAGCTTTTTGCGTATTGTTTTCTTGAACTGACAAAGTATATCGTGTCAGATGCGATCTAATGTTTCATACATGTTAACCTTTTCATTCTCAAACAAAGTTGCAATCCAGCAAAGTAATAATTCACGAATTAACCTTCGCGAATCCGAATCGTCGGCAACATTGAAAAGAAGTGGTTCAAAATAACAATCGGTTCGCGAATCAGTGTGTACAGGTAAGATGTAATAACATGTCCAATAAGGGCATGCCCGGACCTTCCCCATCACCTAGCTCTCACAGGATTTCACGATTTAAACCCATGCATTTACACTTCTTAACAGTTAGGCTATATTGCAAGTCTTAGCATTTAACATTTCTTTGCATGGTCAAAAAACAAATACAAAGATATAGTAGACTAAAATGTACAAAAGTCTTCCTTATACAAACACGCATAATGATCAACAGGATATTTCATAAAATATTTAGCTTGTTACAAACATTTTGTATGCAATGCAAACATGCAAAGTAGCCTACTATGCAAAAAAAAAAAAAAAATTGTTTTTAATATGCAATTAGTTTTGTACGCATTTTCTGCGGATAGAATAAAGATACTGTTTTAATGTAAGACCTTTATAATGATTTGATCTGATATAAAATGCAAGGCTCACCTTCCTATCCAGTTGCACTGGTCGCTGGAATATTGTGCACATCCACACAGGACCAGAGCTGATAACAGAATGAATAAAAGCATCCTCAAAACCCCCGACAATCTCTTCCAGTCTGTAGAAAATCTCAATCCACGGCCGCTCTGGGTCACTTCAGAAACTGCATGACCAGATCAAGAGCAGACAGATCTGCAGTGAAGAGCATGATCGCGCGTGAGTCTGAAGCCCAGACACAGTAGTTATGAAGGTAGAATGACGTCAAAAAGATTTGCATACGCAGGGTACGAGTTGTGGAAGTGTACATAAGACTGTAAGCGTAAATTAAATTTGCATGCGCAAGAGAAGCTTTGTAAAGGTGTAAATCGTGTTTCAAGCGCAAGAAAAAATTATTCGTAAGTGACACACACACACACACACACACACACACACACACACACAAACACACATAAATGAAGGACTGTTGAGAGGAAGAGAGATAAAACTAACCAGACCTGTCAGAATCTGTCAGGAATTATTAAAGTTTGCTGCTAACACGCACATACACGACAAAAACATGACAGAAACCGGTTTTAAAAATCCTACAATACATTTTTAATATCAGAAGCATTTGAAATAAAATATAATACTAAAACAGTGTTAATCGCTGAAATAAAATAAAATACATATGTGACCCTGGAGCACCAAACCAGTCATAAGGGTACATTTTTCGAAATTGAGATTTATACATCATCTGAAAGCTGAATAAATAAGCTTTCCATTGATGTATGATTTGTTAGGATAGGACAGTATTTGGCCGAGATACAACTATTTGAAAATCTGGAATCTGAGGGTGCAAAAAAATCTAAATATTGAGAAAATCACTTTTAACGTTGTCCAAATGAAGTCTTTAGCAATGCATATTACTAATCACAAATTAAGCTTTGATATATTTACAGTAGGAAATTGACAAAATAACTTCATGGAACATGATCTTTACTTAATATCCTAATGATTTTTGGCATAAAATAAAAATCACTAAGTTTGACCCATACAATGTATTTTTGGCTATTGCTACAAATATACCCCAGCGACTTAAGACTGCTTTTGTGCTGCAGGGTCACATATATTAGATGAAAATTTAAATATGAAAATAGAAATATTGCCTTAGAAAATTACTGAATTAAAATAAATTTAAGCTGAAGTACAAAATCTGCTAAACATATTCTATTCTAAATATTGTAAAAAAATCAAAATAATAAAAATAATAATAGTAATATCAAAAACACAAGAAAGTTACAGAAAATAGAATGAAAACAAAATATAAAAAAAAAATAGACAAAATATGAATAAATACTATAACAGTATAAAATTGTACTAAATTAACTAACAAAATTCAATCTCAATCTGTAGAAAGTCAACATGTGAAGAAGCACAACTCTGTGATCACATACATTCGATTTTCCAATGTCACTGGCTTTTTAAAATCAACGTGAAACGTGAAAAATGCAATCAGATTCTGCCTCAGCCTGGTTATTAATAATGAACAGGTTATGAGTGGTAACTAACTGCACTTCACCATTAATTGCTATAATTACACATAGCTGAACGGCGCTTGTTTATACCGTCACGTCGCCTGTCTGTGGTAAATTGCAGTATTTGCCACTCAATTTCCCTTCAATAATGTCTTAAACACAGATTGAGTTGCTGTACCATTCCAGCACTCTCTGACATCAAGAGGACCTGATTGAGAGCAGCCAGCAGTACACTGTGGTCATAAAAAAGTGTTTATTACGTTTGAAATATGGATATGTTTCTTACAAAAACACACGGATTCGCTACAGGAGGCCTTTATTCACCCCCCGGAGTCATGTGAGGCACGCTTTATTACGGATGCGCACACTTTATTTCACATCTTTTGGACCATTGAACAAAAACACCCGCCTACTCCCATTCTAACGCTTGGAAGAGCAAGGAAAAATGTTTAATACAATTACGACTGGATTCGTCTGAAAGAAGAAAGTCATATACACCTAGGATGCCTCGGGGGTGAGTAAAACGCAGCCTAATTTTCATTTTTGGGTGAACTAACCCTTTAAAGATGGATGTGTCTGTGGGAAAAGGGCTTATTCTGAGCGTCACTCGGGAACGATGGAGAAATCCAGTGACATGGGGCATCAGGAATGCAAACAGATGCCTGAGTGAGTGTGTGTGTGTGTGTGTGTGTGTGTGTGTGTGTGTTGTAGTGTAGGTGCTAGAGGGATGTGAGAGGTTTCTCAAGCCGGGAACTCTGGGAAGGACAGCAGGAAGCAGTTCCCAGCTCTCACACACATTTCACTCAGAGTTTTGACTGTCTCCTATAGTTTGACACTCATCTGATGAGGGTTTCTTTCCTCCAGCTCTGACAGAAAAGGTTGTGTGTTCTTATATTCTCATTAAGACGTGACTCAGTCCCATTAAGAAACTGTTTTCTAGCAGAAGGTGTTGTCAGCTCCCGCAGTCCCTGAGCTTTCACTGTACTGCAGCTCAAAGCTCAGCGTCTTCAGCTGAAATGATAATAATGGACTCCCTCCTTCAGCTGCAGCGAGTGCAGGTTTCCCTCCAGGACTCCGTGAGTCATATCCTACATAGATT